TGCTAGCCCAGCTACAAATGCTAAACTAACATCTTTAGGCTTCTTTTCCAAATATTTTTGACTGCTTTATTAACTCTTCGATACTTTCAAAGAGAATTCTTGCTAAAAAAAAAGTTTTGTCTATGTTTTCTAGTTCTTTTAATGGAATAGTTTTTCCAAATTATAATCTTCCACTATCAATGCTGAAGTCCTAGTTAATACATATTTACTTAATTTAATGTCAAATTTAATATCCAGGAAGGTTAGGATATTAGAATTTAAGAGGTTATTAGTACTCCTTAAGAGAAAAGTTTCCATACTGAATATACTGAACTTGGATAAATGAAATAGGTGAGGAGATGAAGATGGTAGAGGCTTCCTTTAAGAAATCTAGTCATGAAACAACAGAGTAACAATAGGAATTTTGGTAAGAAAAACAGAGTAAAAGAGAACTATTCATCATTATTGCTTGATTTTAGAATGCGGCACTTTTGAGTATATTTATAAATTGAGGGAAAGATAGCATCAGATAAAGGATTAAAGACTGGCAGGTAAAAGCAAAGTTAATGAACTAAGTTCTGCAGCGTTAGAAAGGAACAATGATAAGTTTTCCACTGAGACAGAGGAGGTAAATGAAGAGATTCGTAAGTGCTGAGATGTGAAAGGGTAGAAATTACAAATGTACAATTCTGATAATACCTGTTACTGTAGTGTTATAAAAGAGATCATTAGCTCATTTTAAGTGTGGATTGTCCACTTACCATTTACAAGGTCTTTTTCTTTTAAAACTAGAACATACATTTTATTGGTCCTTTAGTCTCTTCTCATTGACTTAAGGGGACAGAAGTAGGAAACTATTTCATACTCATATAGCAATATTCCATCTCATATCTTATTTTCTTTTCCCTGTCAAAATGTATTTTGAAGACTCTTACAAAAAAGAGCACTTAGGTTGGCCACTTACTGATATGGAAGTGTAGGAGGACCAATACTTTCTACAGCCTAAATGCATGTGAAGTAATTTCAGCAACTGGTTCTTTTATTCCCCCATCTTGTATTCTTATAAATGAAAACTCCTCAAGGGCAATGATCATATGTTTTATATGCCCTGTCAAGGTATAGCAAATGCTGGGGGTGGTAAATAAATAATAAATAGGTATAAAATTCCCAAATAAAAATTACTATAACCTGAAGCAATTGCTGCTCCTGATGCTAGTGATGCAGAGCCGAGGCTACATTCAAATCACCAGGAAGAAACCATACATTCTTTATCATAGTGTCCAGAAATGTGAGTTACATTTTGGTAATTACAGTCTTCAGCTGACTCATAAATATTTACTGAGTACTTTCTATTTGCTTCACAGTAATCTGAGAAACCACCAATAATGCTCTAATCTTAAGTGAAATAAACAAGGATCCAGTTGATTAAATAGGATGCCCAAGTTTGTATTCCTGCTAATATATGCAGACCTGAAATTCAAACTCATTTCTCTAATTCCATATAAACAATGGTGTTATTTACAGTGCTCTATAGCCTTTGACTCAAAGTAGCACCTATAAGTATTGGATAATAACACGTTCCTTATGAAAAAATGAGGAATTATACCACTGTATTTTTCACTTCTTAAAAACTGTATCATATTTTAATTGAGGTAGCAATGGTTTACAAAACTGTGTATGATTTAGAGGTCCAAGTTCACAGCTCTTCAAATGTATGTTAGCACACAAAGGCCACCATCCAAAGCTCCTATAATCTTCCACCATTGGTCCACTGGGCTCGCTCCCCTCTTTATTTCTCCACCTCCCCAACTTCCCTTTCAAGTGGCCCCAATTCTGCAGTTAGAGTTCCAAATTTTGTTTTGGCTTAGTTTTACCTGTTCACTTGTTTTTTTCTTTAATTTCTACATATGAGTGGGTAAATATGTGGTACACACACACAATAGAATACTACACAGATATAAAAACTGAGGAAATCTTGCCATTTGCAACCACAAGAATGGGACTTTAGGAGATTCAGCTAAGCAAGGTAAGAAGAAAGAAACAATACCAGTTGATTTCACTCACGTGTTGAACCACTTGAATTTTTAACTATACAAACTCTCATCTTGGGCCTCCTCAGTGGCACAGGGGTTAAGCGCTAGGCTGCGAAGCTGCCTGCGGCCTCTGCAGCGCCAGTTTGATCTCCGGCAGCCAGGGTCCCACATGGCGCACAGATCTCTCCTGCCGCACCCCCTGCTCCCCTCGGCAGTGTACTTCGTCAGTCTGCCTGTTCTGCTCCCCGCTCTGGCTCTGGTGAATTCTCTTACCCTCCCACACTTCTGACTGTACCCAGTGCTTGTATAAATAAATAAATAAATCTCAAAAAAAAAAAAAAAAAAAAACACTCATCTTGTGCAAGGCAGAAAGCATAAAGATTGAGTTAATGGATAATTACTCAAGAATTAGAAATGGAAAATATTGTGACCTCCTTTTGTATTCTACCATCTTGGCAATGATATATTTAATAGGCTATATACCCATGGTAGAAAATTTTTTCAGTATTTAATTTGTTCAGAACTGCCTAAGGAGATATGACATTACAAAAAAAGGCAATTTCCTACTTTGTGTATTAAGACACTAATTTTTACTTCTTTGTTGTCTAACAGATTTGATTATGTAAAAAAGGTGGTTAAAATATCTGTGAGGAATTTTAAAGTTCATCTCAAAGACAGGCATTGTTAACTATCACTATCACAACTTCTGTACTTCTACTAAAGTTTTTGAAAATCTATGCTGTAACTAGATTAAAAAAATAATTTATGTTTAAACTTTTAGTATTTGTGTAGATCACGCTGTGTGTTACCAAACATTAGTTGGAAATAGTAGCTATAAACAGATGAAATTTGAGAAAATAATATAAAAATAGTTATACTTGTTATACAATACAGCCTCTTTAGAATGATACAGATTTTTACAAACTTTGCTTCATTTGACATTGAACATATGGCATTGTAGTTTTGAGGAAAACATATCTCTGATGAGGATTTGCCTTTAAATTTGTATTTATCAAGCACCTCCCAAGATTTCTTTTACATTTTAACACTTATCCCTTTTTTTAATAGAATGTAGCTTACACACAAAAATATTTAGTAGATCTATTAGACTACCGCAGTAATCAAAAAAACTCAAGAGGAAAATCCTTATATTAATATAAACATTATAGAGTTTTAACTAGGACTAATTTTAAGTCCATTCTTACCCATTACAAAGATTCTAACATATAGGGCTTAGTTTGCAAAAGTACAAACTAATACTGTTTAACATTTCTTTTTCCAGAGTAAATCTGAAACATAAATTGTCTTATCAGTTGGCATAAGAAATTCAGGTAGCAATGTGAACATACAAATGGTAAGGGAAGGAGAATAAAGAGGATAAAACTGAAAGGTGTTTTAAATTTCATCTTAAATGGTAAGCCTTTAACATTTCTTATTATATTAACATATACGTATTTTCTATTGACCAAATGAAAGTGCTGACAAAATTTTTGTATTTCTTTTTCATTTTGAGTTTTTCATTGAGATGTCTCAAACTTCTTAGGTGAGATATTTCAAATGAAATTAACATTGTTTTTAAAATGTGTACAGTATAGATTTAGCATCATGTCTGCTGCTTATTTAAAAACAAAAAAATGAAAAAGACTGAAGATATGTAGTATTTTGAAAAACTAAAGAAAATACAATTTCAAATATTTGCAAGTGAATTCTTGAGATAGTACTTTACTTTAAAAATCTTGTTAGGCATACTGTACTATATTCTCTTAAAAAGCACTGGTTATAACAAAATAAGCAGTTCAATATAAATTAATTTAAGTACATATCATATATACTATATGAAATAGAAAAGAAATATAGATATGATTAATGTCTCAAAAACAATCTTAAAAACATCAAAGATTATATAGTATACAATGTATAAAATTTAAATCAAAAGAAATACACAAAATACGAATATCAACTACAGATTGTGTTCAGTTACTAAATTTCATTTCTTAATAAGTTATAAACTAAACCTGAAGATTTAATGTACTACATAATGACTTTGACACTTTATTAAAATGGGTTGGTTGAAATCAGTCAATGCAGAGACCTAGAGGGTGTGGAAGTTTCTCAAAAGGCTAACAATGGATGTGCCATATTACCCACTTGAAGGGATCTGTGGAAAAAATACAAAAACACTAATTTGAAAGGAAACCTGTACCCCTATGTTCATAGCAGCACTATTTATAATTGTCAAGCTATAGATACAACCTAAATGCCCCTAGATGATTGGATCAAGAAGATGTATTACATATATACAATGAAATACTGAGTGATCAAAAAAGATAAACTCATGCCATTTCAGCAACATGAATGGAGTTGTAAGAGAAAATACTAAGTGAAATAAGTCAGGAGAAAAAAAAAAAAAAAAACAGATGGTGTCCCTACTATTTAGAATATAGAGAAACCAAACTAATAACCAGAGAATGACAACCTTAAAAGCTAGCCCTTAAAAACTGGCTGGAGAATTGAGGCATCCAAAACAGGGGTAAGAGGGGAAAGAAGGGTTGAAACAAGGAAGGAAGAAAGCACAGTGGACAATGGTGGTAGACTATGAGTGATTTGGTGGCAGTCACCCTATAGTGGTGATACCTGATGGGGAGAAGCCTACTGTTACCACAATTAAAGAATGAAGTATTATTTAAAAAAAAAAAAAACAATATTCTATAAGACAGTGAAAATAATACAGAGATCCATAAATGGAAGATACCTGTTTTATATTTACTATATTTTATTAGAAAAGCAATGTACATTCATTTTAACAATCAATTTTTATTTTCTATATGTATGTGTGAATTCTCCAAAATTATTCTCCAGAGTTAGCAATTTAAAACTCATTTGTTTTTACATACAAACAATTAAGAAATCAGCAAAAATGATTATGAACTAATTATAGTAATAATGTAACATTAATAGAGTTAATTAATAACATTTCTAAATAGCACATATTTACACTAAAACAATTTGAAATCAATTTTGTGTTGGTTAAGGATTTTCATGCATTTTCTTCAAAATTTTTTTTTCTGTCAGAGTATTTATTAGTTTCCCAGGGCTGCCATAATGACTCATCACATGTTGGGTGGTTTAAAACAGCAGAAATTTATTCTTTCACTGTCCTGGAGGCTGGAAATCTGAATTCACGGTGTCAGCAGAGTTGGTTCCTGCTAAAGACCCTGAAGGAGAATCTATTCCTTGCTTCTGCCTCAGCATCTAGTACTGTTCCTGATTTGTAGCTGTATCACTGCAATTGTGACCTCTATCTTCATACCACTTTGCATTCTGAGTTTCTGTCTCACTTTTTCACTTCTCATTAAGGACAGAAGGCATATTGGATTAAAGCCTGTTTTGTTCAAGTACGACCTCATGTTAACTACTTACAATCTCCATGATCCTTTGTCTAAATAAGGTCACATTTTGAGGCTCTGGGAAGGACATAAATTTTGGAGAGATACTATCCAATACCCAACCCAGAGCACTTTCCATTTAACTGTGATGAAAAAATTGCAAAATCGTTCTGATTTGAATAAAGACTGTAAAGTAAAAGGGAAACAAGTTTGGTACTAAAGTTAAATATTACTGTAGTAAATGAAGTCAATCTGGGGTAAATCCAAGTATTTCTTATCTTTGTGTTTGTATAATTTTGTTGATATTTTATTCACTTGCATTCACCCATTGAGAATTTGTAATCATAATGGGAAAGATCAGTTTTTCCTGTATTTGAAAAAAAATCATTTGGTAAGTAAATTTATAGCTTAAGTATGATTTCAAGGATAACTACTTTTTAAGAAAAGAGTAATTTTCATGAAACTTTAATTAACATGCCCATGCAAAATTGACTACTTATCTATCATTCATCCTTGGGTCATAATCCAAGCACCATATATCACCTGGTTTTCTTCACTACATAAAATTCCTGTTTGATGTTTTCAGAGTACCTTTTATAACTTACTGCTGTATTTACTTTATATTGATTTCGGTAAATATTTACCATTGTTGCTCTCCTCCATTAGAATATAAACTCCATGGAACAGTTACTGGGCTATGTATATTTTACATATCTTTGTTTCTCTAATGCTTAGTTCAGTACTTGTCAAACACCTGAGTAAATTAGAAGTGCATATTTATGTATAAAAAGTTAATATGTGAATTATGAATCAATCTCACCCATTTGTTAAAGAACCGTCTACCAAGTGTATTTTTCTTGATTAACTTTTCACAACTACAGTCATTATCTTTATGTAAAAACATTAGGTGTACAATGTTTTTAATATCTTGAATATATCATATAGTTTTTAAAAAGATTTTTTTTAGATTTATTTTTGCACAGAAAGGCCAGAGGTACAGGGGTAAGAGGATTCACCAGAGACAGAGTGGGGAGCAGAACTGGTGGATTTACTAAAATACAGTGTTGAAGAGAGCAGTGGGTGAGACAGGGGAGGTCTGCTGCACCCTAAGTGATAAGCTCCCTGGCTGGGATCGAACTCAGGTGGCCATGGTGGGACTTTGTGGTGATAGCACTGAGACTTAATCCTAGGCCACCACGGAGTTTCTATAGCATATAGTTTTTTATTTCAAACAGAAATGGTTGCTTTAGGTTGAATACCTCAATTAAAAAATGTAGGATTCAAATCATAAGAGATAATATTATTTATCAAAGGCATCTGAACTATTATTAAACACAAATCAACTTAAATAAAAAGTTTTGTGAAATATTTTATGAGCACTGTTAGAGGAATTCTACATGTTATTGCATATATTATATGTGTAATATATGGAAACATGGCACCTATCATATTGAACAATCCCTTTAAAACAATGAAATTTGTCAGTATGATGAATTTTTAAAATGACACTTGAAAATTTAAAATTTACATAATACCTATACTCAAGAAAACTATAGTAGAAATTATTTATTCCCAAGTAGGAAAACTAAAATTCATTCTATGATCATTATTAATTATCTAAGCAACAGAAAATCTGTTGCCAGTCTGAATATCTTAACTCAGAATTTAGGACACACAAATATGATTATAATCTCTCTTTTTTGACAGTCTGAATTTACATATTTAGATAAATATAAATAGTACATTTTTTAATTTCCTGGCTAGAAAAAGGACTGCACTTCAAAAGTCACATATAATGCTAAGATAAACATATTTTTCCAGTTTTGACATCCTGTTGACCTTGAGTTGAACTTTGTGAAATTTCTTTTTGAGAAAAAAATGCTAAATACAAAATTTCCAAACACATATAGTACATATCTATGTATGTCCCACACACTTTCATATTAAGTTTTCAGGAACATACATGAAAAAAAAACTGTGAGAAATGTGAGGGTCAACTTGAAGGATCAGATGACTAAAACTTTCTTTCTCATAATTTGATAGCTGCTCTAAGTTTGGCTGAACGCCCTCTGGGATTATCCTGTACATCCTGATCATTTGGAGTAAGTACCTTCTTATGTATCAATTCCCACATTAAAGGGTCCCTTCCCTTAGAGAACTCTTCCTTGTCTTCATGATGTGAATCCAGTTGTGATTTTTGTATCACCTTCTGCCTAGCACTTAGGTTAAACCTTTCAGTCATGCTTATCCCAAGCAAGAAACGTTTGACAATGCGATCCTCCAGGGAGTGGAAGGAGAGGACTACAAGACGACCACCAGGTCTCAGAAACTTCTGAGCTGTCTTCAGTCCTGTGTAGAGCTCATTGAGTTCATTGTTCACAAATATACGTAAAGCTTGGAAAGTCTTGGTAGCAATATGGGTAGATCTCTGTAGCAAGTCTTTTCTTGCATAAATAGCAGAGGGGGGAAATGCACCTACAAACAAATTTTGTAAAAACAGGAAAAGACCACAGGTAACATTACTATTTTCCATTGTAAATCCAGTTTGTTGTGTGTGTGTCTGTGAATGTGTATATTTAAAGACCAAACTTTATTTATAAAATTGTAGTATTTCAATCATACTTCTTCCTTTTATTTCTAAGCATGTTCCCAACGTTGTGTTAGAAACATCTTCTAGAGCTCATAAGGGTAACTGGAGTCAAACAAGGTACAGGGAAAGAGAAAAGAGTAGATAAATATTTGAAGAATTATGAAAAACTTCCCAACTTTGGTGAAAATCATTAACTCATAGCTATCAAAGGTTTCCTGAGCCCCAAAGAGAAAAAGGCAAAGACAATGAGAAAACTCTTGAGGCAGCAAAATACAGACATAACAAATCAAGCTACAGTAGAAATGAATTATCATTCAAATATAAACGAAAAAAAATTTGTCTTCCAAGATGTTAAGAGTGAAAGAATTAACAGCAAATAGATTTGCATTTAAGGAATGATAAGGGAAACTGAAATAAATAACACTAAGTGAAAAATTGGATAGACAGAAAAGAATGAATAGATAAAAGAATAGCTAGGTAGGTAGGTAGGTAGGTAGATTGATAGGTATAGATATATTTATACACATTTATTATTTTCTTAATTTAAGACAGGACTTTTTAAACAAACTTAAATGATATTCTTAGGTTTATAAAATATATATAGATATGCATTATATATGATACAATAGCACAAAGGATGAGAATGTGTAAACAGAATATTTTACAAAAAGTTAAAGTTTCACAATGTGGTCCCTAGAGCAATTACTAAAAATAAACCTAATAGAGAATTAAATAACCAACAAAAATATTGTTCAACACCAAAAAAGACAAAAAGAAACTAAGATAGGGCCTCCCTGGTGGCGCAGAGGGTTAAGTGCAGCACTGTGAAGCTGTCTGCAGCCTCTGGAGCATGGGTTTGATTCCTGGCCAGCCAGGGAGATAACCACATGGCACAGCAGACCTCTCCTGTCTTGCCCATTGCTCCCCTTATCAGTGTTTTCGGTCATCTACCTATTCTGCTGCCCACTCTGTCTCTGGTGAATTCTCTCACCCTCCCTTGCCGCTGGCCTGTACCCCAGTTCTTGTATAAATAAATCAATTAAAAAAAAGAGAGAGACTAAGACAAATAGTAAAGTGGCACACAATAAATCCAAGTGTATCAATAATTACAATAAATACATTAAATGCTCCAATAAAAAGACAGATTATCTGACCAAAAACCAGCAAGACTATATATTATCAACATATACATAATTATACATAACTATACATTATCAACAGAAATAAACTTTAAATATAACAAACAGAAATAAAAGTAAGGTAAGGTTGTGATAACATATACTCTATAAACAGTAAATAAATTTAAAAAATGGGGAGACTATATTAATTAATAAATTTAATTAGTACAGGATAAGCTGAACTTTAAAAAAGAAAATTACTAGACCTAAAGAGCAACATTTCCTACTGAGAAAAAAAGTCACCACAGCAGGGAGATAATAATTATAAATATTTGGACACCAAATAACATAGTTCCCCAAATTTTGACTTATCAGAAAAAATCCTACATTTACATAAGCAATTAGTTTTAGGCCAAATTGTCAGTGACAATGAAGAAAGAACAGTATTTTCAATGTACATAATATCTATAGAAAAGAAGATGAACTCTACTGCACAGTGTCCATAAAGGTTAATTCAAAAAAAATCACAGACTTAAGGGAAATACTAAAACCATTAAATGTATATGTATAAATAAATTTCTCTTATTCAGACTATACAGAAAAATCTCACAACTTATAAGGTAAAGAATCTATTTGAAAAATGGACAAAAAATTGATCAGACATTTTGTAAAGATGTTCTACATCATTATGTGTCATGGAAATGCAAATGAAAACCAAAATGAAATACTGCTACATATCTGCTAGAACTGGTAAATCCTAGAAAAACATAAACTACTGTACTTGATTCAAGAAGAAATGGACAATCTGAATAGACCTATTGTATGACAACTTAAGGGTTAAATTGGTAATCAAAATGAAAGAAAAGTCCAGATCCAGATGGCTTTACTACTGAATTCTGCCAAACATTCAAAGAATTAATAACAGTAGTTCACAAACCTTCAAAAAACTTAAGAGTGAAACACTTCACAAAATATTGTATAAGGCCAGTTTTACCCTGAAACTAAAATCAAAATCTTTACAAGAAAATAACAGACCAATATTTCTTACGAATATTAATATAAAAATCTTGAACAAAATAATAGAAAACCAATTCAGCAGCATATTAAAAGGATTAAAAACATGTTAAAAGCATATTATAACCATGACCAATTGGGATTCATTCCTAGAATGCATAGATAGCTCAATAAGTAAAAGCTGTTGATATAATTTATTACATTAACAGGAGGAAGAAAAACACCACGCATGATTATCTCAAGTGATCAGAAAAAGCACTTGACAATATTCAATATCCTCTCATGATAAAATCACCCAACAAACTAGGAAGAGAAGAAAAAAATACCTCAAAATAATAAAGGCCACATATAAAAACACACCATTAACATCATAATCAATGAAAAGACTGAGAGGTCTGCTTCAAATATCAGTAACTAGAACAATGAAGATTACTTTTAGCATTTTTATTCAACATGGTACTGTAATTTTTAGTTAGAGCAATTAAGGAGTAAACTTATCTTGTTCACAGAGAACGTAATCTTATACGTAGGAATACTAAAGATTATGCATACATAAGCATACAAGATTTTTAAAACAAATTTGGGAAAGCAACAGGCCACAAAATCAACACAAAAAAATCAGGTGTTTCCTGGGATTACATCAAACTGAAAAGCTTCTGCACAGCAAAAGAGACATTAACCAAAACAGAGAGACACCCACTGATTGGGAAAAAAAATCTTTGCACTGCTATCAACTGATAAGAGACTGACCCTAAAGATATACAAAGAACTCACACAGCTCAACAAAAACAAAATACACAATCCAGTCAAGAAATGGGCTGAAGAACTTAAAAGACATTTGAAAAAATGTTCAGCATCCCTTATAATCAGGGAAATGCAAATTAAAACCACATTGAAATACCACCTTACACCAGTAAGAGTGGCACATATCAAAAAACAAGCAACAGGGGCCTCCCCGGTGGCGCAGCGGTTGAGCGCTGGGTTGCGAAGCTGTCCGCGGCCTCTGCGGCGCCGGTTCGATCCCCGGCTGCTTCCCAGCCACCGGAGGAGGGGCCCGCATGGCACGCAGACCTCTCCTGCCGCCCGCTGCTCCCCTCAGCAGTGTACTTTGGTCCTTCTACCTGCTCTGCTCCCCGCTCTGGCTCTGGTGAATTCTCTCACCCTCCCGCGCTTCTGACTGTACCCAGTGCATGTATAAACCAAACAAACAAACAAAGAAAGAAAGAAAGAAAACATGCCTCTATTAAAAAAAAAAATATTAAAAAAAAAAAGCAAAAAAAAAAAAAAAAAAAACAAGCAACAACAAATGTTGGTGAGGATGCGGTGAAAAAGGAACTCTCCTAAATTGCTGGTGGGAGTGCAAACTGTTCCAACCACTATGGAAAGCTGTCTGGAGGTTCCTCAATCTATTAAATTTGGAGTTGCCATACGACCCAGCAATTCTACTAGGGATCTACCCAAAGGACACAAAAACATTGATTCAAAAGAACACCTGTACCCCTATGTTTATTGCAGCACTATTTACATTAGGTAGAACCTGGAAACAACCCAAATGCCCAAAAATAGATAACTGGATCAAGAAGATGTGGCATATATACACAAAGGAATATTATTTAGCAATCAAAAAAGATAAACTCATGCCATTTGCAGCAGCATAGATGGAAGTAGAAGGAATTATGCTCAGTGAAATAAGCCAGAAGGAAAAAAGAAAATATCGGATGGTTTCACTTACAGCAGGATATAGGGAAACCAAATAAGACATCAGTGTAAAAAAATAATAACAGTACAAAACACAACAAAGCAAAAATGGACAATTATAAATGACAGACACACTGCAGGGGAGGAGGAGGGAGAGGGATGGGAGGGAAGGAAGGAGGTGCACAGGGGACTGAGGTGATGGTGCACAGTGCATTGGTGAAGGAAACTCTATGAGGACTACACCAGAGGGGTGGGGGAAGCAAATATTGTTTCAAATTAACAATGATTTAAAAATATAAATAAAAATGAAAAAATCAGGTGTTTCTCTAACAATGAACAATTTAAAACTGGAATTAAGAAAACATTTCCATGCACAATAGCATCAAAATTAATTAAATATTAAGGAATAACATTAACAAAAGTACAAAACATGCTATGAAAGCTCCCAAAAGTTTTGAAAGTCACTATTTAAAATGGCAATACTCCCTAAACTGATCTAACATACATCGCAATCCTTATCACATCCAGCTGACATTATTGATATAAATGGACAAGTTAATTTTAAAATTCACATGGAATTGTAAGAGATCCAGAGCAGTCAAACTGATGCTGTAAACAACAATAGCAATAACAAAACCCCAACAGAATGAAGTAGGAGGACTGACACTTAAGGACTTAAAAACTTACTGCAAAGAAACAGTAACTGAGCCAGTGTGGTACTGCCCCAACAATAAACATAAAGCTCAGTGAAATGCAATTGAGAGGCCAGAAATAAATGCATGTATGTACAATTAACTGATTTTTTAAAAGAATACCAAGATCATTAAATGGGGAAAGGGTAGTTATTTAAACAAATGATGATGGGACACAAGATACCCACATATAAAAACTGGAGTTGGATCTGTAAATCATATGCAAAACTCAAAATGAATCAAAGACCTAAATTTAAAAGTTAAAACTACAAAACTGTTAAAAGAAAACACAGGCATAAATTCTCAAGACTTAATTTATGGAAAGATTCTTGAGTATGAGACCAAACAAACAACAAAATTAGA